CCCCCCCCCCCCGCCTCCTCGCCCACCGGCCCCTGCCGCCGCTCGCCCCACATGGGCCCCATGCGCCCGGGCGCCGGGCCCTCGCACGGCCGGCTCCCCGCGCTGCTCCCCCTGCTGAGGCTGCTCCCGCTGCTGCTCGGGGTGCTGCTTGCGGCCGGCCGAGAGGGGGCCAGCCAGGCACCGGCGCTGGCACTGGCGCCAGAGCAGCCGCCCCAGGTCCCCTACTGCCTGGCCCCGCTGCCGCTCTTCGACCAGCCGAGCCGGCTGGAGTTCCAATCGCTGGAGCATGGCCGGCCCAGCTCCACCCTGGTGCTGCGGGACTCCAACGCGCTAACCCTCCTGTCGCAGGACCAGCTCACTGTCTCGGCATGGTCGGAGCTCCGCCATGGGGCCCTCTTCCATTCGGAGCAGAAGACACACCAGGTCCTCAGCCTGGGCTCCTCCGCCCCGGGACTGCCCCATGGCAGCGTGGTACATGTCATCCGCGCTGACACCCCTCGCCCGGCCCTGGTGGCCTTCAGCCCGACCGAGGCACGGCTCCTTCTGTCGGATGGCTCGGGCGCTATCTTCACCGACGCCGGCATGGTCTTGCTGGCTGCCACGGCCTCCTCCCACAACCATGCGTCCCTGCTGGTAGTCGATAGCCAGAACCTTGTACGCGTTGTCAGCTTGTTGAATAGCGCCGCGTCGGACCTCATGATCACCGGGCTCACCGGCACCCCCGGGCTTCGGGCGCTTCGCGGCTCCGGCTACACCTTCCACCTGTGGGACGCCAGCACCTACCACTTCCTGGACCTCAGCCTCTCCCTCGACCCGTCTTCCAGCTCGGCCGAGGCCGTCATCCGCCATGTGGCCGTCACGCGTGTCTCTCCATCGACCCCATCCGATCGGGACGACCTGTTCTTCCTGCTGGACAATGGCACCTGGCTGCCGTGTCTCGCGTGTTCCTCCCTGGCCCCGGTCCCGGGCGTCCCCAGCCCGGTCTTCCCCCACCCGGGGGCCAGCCTCTCCGGCCGGGTGCTGGCCCAGCCCGGCTTCGAGCTGCGCCCCTCCGACCATACCGGGCACTTCTTCTTCCACGAGCAGGCCTCCCACAATGGCACGCCGGATGTCCTTTGGCGACTGGACGTCTCCACCGACGGGCTGACCTTCCAGCCATCCCGGGTGCTCATCCCCTCCGAGGCCGGGCCCCTGGCCAACCTGCGCCTGGTGAACACCTACCTCGGCGGCCGATTCGTGCCCGTCCTCGCCGGAACCCAGCTCCTCCTCGACCACAGCCACTTCTCCTGCGACCAGGACCTGACCATTGTGTGTGACCCGGAGGAGCCCACCGGCTGGCGGTGCAAGCCCGGTCACCAGATGTCCACCTTCGCCAACGACGGCCGCCTATGCAGCGCCTGCCTCCCGGGCTTCTATTACCAGCGGGACTCCAGCACCAGCCGTACGTGCCACCTTCTCTCCCCTCCCTTCGGCGGGCGGGGCCCGGCGGCAAGGGCCATGGCTGCTCGGGCACTTCCCCTGCTCGGTGTGGGGCCCGGCCTGGCCCCGCGCCAGGCACGCATGCCCCGTGCCAAGCACACACACACACACACACACACACACACACACACACACACACACACACACACACACACACACGCACGTGTACATATGCATTCGCTTTCACATCAGGCCCCTCCCTCTGCCACACTTTTTCCATACTGACCCCTTGGCCGGATGTTGCTCATCTCTCTGTCTTTGTGCGCCACACAAATGCGCGGCGGGCGCGGGGACACCCCAATGCCCGGGCCTGCCATCCTCAAGAGATCGAATGCAAACCGTGTCCCCAGCAGGGCTGCGAGGTGTGCACGGCGGCCTCCTGCCTGGCCTGCCAGCCGGGCCTGCTGCTGGCCCGGCCGGCCACCAACCAGGCCTCCTGTGTTCAGAATTGCCCCGAGGGCTTGCACCAGGAGGGGACCCTGTGCCTGCCCCTGGACACATGGACCGTGGAGCAGCCGACCCTCGAGCAGGTTGCCGTCTCGGTCAAGGATGACGATGGCGCGTCACTCAACCCGACGGAATCCCTCATCCCCACGCGCCTGACCATGTCATCGACGGAGGCCCTGCTGCCCTGGGCCGCGCCGCTGCCCCTCCGGCCGACGCACTTCCTGTCCCTGCGCAACGGGATCCTCCCGCTGCTGATCCAACCATCGGCCGATGGATCGCCCCCATTCCGGGCCATCGAACTGTTCAGTTTGCCGGCCATCTCCTTCAAGGTCCTGGACGGGCTGGAGCGCGTGGTCTCCGTCGCCAACAGCCGGCCGGTTCTCGAGCTTTTCTACTGCCTCGAGGGGTCGTCAGGCGGCCTGCGCCGGGTGCGCGTCACCTGCCAGACGGGCAGTCACCAAGTCCCAGAACAGCCATGCGTGGCCGCCTTCCAGATCGACAACCAGTTCCTCCTGCCCGGTTGCGATGCCCTGGCCGAGATCGATGCGAACAACCTCATGGTTCGAGTTGTCGGCGGCCTGCACTTCCTCCTGTCCACGCCCAGCTCCGACAACTGGGTCATCAAGCCGGTGTCCAGCTTGCCGACCACCGGGCGTCCGGGCATCCTGCCGGCCCTCGGCCTGACATCGCACAACCTGCTGGTCTTCCACCAACATGGCCCGGGCCTTGGGCCCAGCCCGCGCGCCGTCTCCCTGCCCCTGATGGTGGCTGGCGATCCGCGTGTCAATGCCACGGCCACCAGCCTGCTGGACCCCCAGGGCCTTGCCCAGCTGGAAATGACGTCGGTGCTGACGCTGCGAGCCACGGCCCCGGCCCCGGACCACTTCCTGGTGGGCCTGCGGCCGGACCCCTCCCACCCGGGCCGCTAACAGTGGCTGGCCGCGCACTTGCCGCTCGGCACCATGACCCACGGCCGCGCCGCCCAGCTGCCCACCCGGCTGCATGTCCTGGCCACGCTGGAGGCGCACCCGGGCCCGGTGCACTACCGAGCGGTGAACCTGCTCATCCATGCCAACTGGCCCGGGGCTCTGGTCCTGGCCACCGGGACGACGCTCCTGCTGGCGCCGCTCTACTGCCCGACCAGGGCCTCCAGCCAGCTGTGCTTCCTGCGCCCGGCCAGCAGCCACACCCTGCCGGGGCCGTGGGCCGCCCTGTCGGACTCCGGCATGGTGCCCCTCAGCTTGGCCTCGGGCCCGGCGCCCACCCCCGGCCCGGCGGCCGCCATCCACTCGACCCCCTCGCCGGAGCGCACATCGCTGCTGGCGCTTCTGACCACGGGGCAGGGGCCCCTCTGGCGGCTGGACATCCTCCTGGAGGCCTGCGACTCGAGCACCTGGGGCATGCCATCCTCCTGCGGCCCCTGCCACGCGCGGTGCGCCACCTGCACCGGGCCCGGGCCGGAGGATTGCACCGCATGCGCGCTCCTGGCCAATGGCCAGCCCCTGGAGCCCCCCTGCACGGACACCTGCCCGGCCGGCCTGCTCATGACCGGCATCAACGCCTGCACCTGCCACGAGAAGTGCCTCACCTGCGCGGGGCCCCTGTCGGGGCGCTTCCACTGTGTCGAATGCATGGCCGGCTTTGTCAAGTCCACCTCGGTGGCCGACGTGGACTGGTGCCTGGCGTGCGCTGCCTCCTGCGCCACGTGCTCCGCCGAGTCCGATGCCGGTGCCTGCCTCTCCTGCCAGGGTGGCCTGCTCCTGTCGGGCAGCACGTGCGTGAGCGCCTGCCTGGCCGGGCACTGGCCCGACCTGCCGAGCTCCATGTGTCGCCCCTGCCCGGAGGGCTGCACAGCCTGCACCTCGGGGACCGCCTGCACCGGCTGCCGGGAGGGCCACTTCCGCCGCGGCGGCGCCTGCCTCCGCTGTGACGGCTCGTGTGTCTCCTGCCAAGATGCCGCATCCTGCGAGGTGTGCCGGCCGGGGCTGGTGTTCCTGTCGGCCGATCCGCAGCAGGCGTCCCTCTGCGGCGGCACCTGCGCCCCGGGCGAGTATGTCGGCGCCGGCCGGTGTGCCGCGTGCCATGAGTCTTGTGAGCTGTGCGACCAGGCGGCCGCCGCGTGTCGGGTGTGCGCGCCAGGCTTCCGCTGGGGCGCGGTCCCGGGCCCCGGCGGCACCGGCACGTGTGTCCCCTGTGATCCTGGGTGCGCCTCCTGCACGAGCGCCGCCTGCCATGCCTGCCTGCCGGGCCTTGTCTTGGACTCGAGCAACGCGTGCGTGGCCGCCTGCCCGGCCGGGTCGTTCAGCAACGGCGAGTCGTGCCAACCATGCGACGTGTCTTGTGTCGCCTGCGCCGGTGGCATGGGCAACCAGTGCACGGGCTGTGCCGCCGGGCTGGAGCTTGTCGAGGTCACTCCCGGTGTCGGCACCTGCGAGTCGGGCTGCCCGGAGGGCCAGTACCGCCAGGGCACGGACTGCCTGCCCTGCGACGCGGCCTGCGCCACGTGCAACGGCCCCACGGACAAGGACTGCTGGCGGTGTGCCTCCGGCGTCCTGCAGGGGGGCGACTGCGTGCAGGCCTGCGCCGCCAGGCATGTGGCCATGGCCGACCGGTGCCTGCCGTGCCATGTCTCCTGCGCCGAGTGCATGGGCACTCGGAGCACCGAGTGCCTGCCGGACTGCGCCCCCGACTTGCTGGCCCTGCCGGCCGGGCAGTGGCCCATGCGCTGCGTGCCGGCCTGCCCGGCCGGGTACCACACCTCGGCGGCCGGGTGCGCCCCCTGCGGCGCGCACTGCGCCAGCTGCCCGGAGTCGAACGACACGTGCGCCCTGTGCGAGCGCGGGTGGCTGCTGGACGCGCCGAGCTGCGTGGCCGAGTGCCCCCCCTCCTCGGTGGCGCAGGGCGGGCTGTGCGCCACCTGCCACGCCACCTGCGCCACGTGCTACGGGCCGGAGCCGGGGCACTGCCTCACCTGCGGCCCGGCGTCCCCGCTGCTGGTCGGGGGCACCTGCTTCGAGGCCTGCCCGGAGGGGACCTTCCAGGTGGCCAGCGCCTGCCAGCCATGCGACGGGAGCTGCGCCGCGTGCGCCGGCCCGAGCGGCACCGACTGCACCCGGTGCCCCGGTGACCGGGCGCTGCTGTCAAGTGGCGCGTGCGCCGCGTCCTGCCTGCCGGGCGAATACCCCGCCGGGGACCCCGGCGGCGGGGCCGGCCGGGTGTGCGCGCGATGCGACGGCTCCTGCGCCACGTGCTCCGGGCCGTCGGCCGCCGAGTGCACGGCCTGCCCGCCGGGCCGGCTGCTGCTGCTGCCCGACCACACGTGCGTCAGCACCTGCCCGGCTGGGCACCTTGCCTGCGATGCGACCCGGGAGTGCGAGGCCTGCCCGGCCGGGTGCACCCACTGCCAGGGCGATGCCAGCTGCCGGGCGATGTGCACCGCGTGCGAGGATGGCCTTCTCCTCTCGGGCATGGCCTGCGCGGCCATCTGCCCGGCGGGGCACTTTGCCCCGGCCGGGTCGCGCATCTGCGAGCCCTGCGACGGTGCTTGCAACACGTGCACCGAGCGGCCGGACAGGTGCACCAGCTGTGCGGCGGGCTTCCTGCTGCCGGCGGAGGGGGCCTGCGCCGGCGCCTGCCCGGCCGGCTCGGCGCCCCTGTCCACGCCGGACCGGGTGTGCCTGGCGTGCCCGGCCGACTGCGAGCAGTGCACCGCGGCCGGTGGCCAGGCCGGCTGCACTGTAAATGACGACGGGTCGCTGGCGTGCCCGAGCGTGGGCTCGTGCTCGCGCTGCGCCGCGCACTTCCTGCTGCTGCATGGGGCCTCCTGCGTCGGGTCCTGCCCGGTGGGCATGTACGACGGGTGGGAGGCCTCGCCGGCGGCCTGCCTCGCGTGCCGGGCCGGCTGCGCCGAGTGCACCGGGCCCGAGGAGGCGGACTGCGTGCGGTCGGCCGGGCCCTCCTCGCGCGGGCTGGCCCTCGGCCTGGGCATCGGCCTGGGCCTGCTGATGCTGCTGCTGCTGCTGGTGGCGCTGCTGGTCCTGCTGTGGCGGTACCGCCGGGCGGCCAAGTCCGGGGGCATGGACCGCATGGATGATGAGGACGCCACCGTCATGAACACCATCGTGGAGCTGTCGCTCCCGGGCAGCATCCTGGTGAGCATTGCCAATGACTTCGCCCCGCTGAACGAGGATGCGCTGGGCGCCGGGACCCAGGCGTCGGTCTACGCGGCGCGCGCCGTCGGGGCCGGCATCTCCGACCGGCTGGGCTGCCCGGGCACCGTGGCCATCAAGCAGCTGAAGGCCGAGCGCATGACCCCCACCCAGGTGACCCTCTTCCAGAACGAGGTGGCGCTGATGTGGCTGCTGCGCGACGCGCCCAACATCGTCCGGCTGTACGGCTACAGCGACCAGCCGCCGGCCATGGTGATGGAGCGCTACCACACGGACCTGGCCACGCTGCTGCACTCGGAGGTGCCACTGGCGCCGCACGTCCTGCTGGACATCGTGCAGCAGTGGGCCACCGGGCTGGAGGCCATGCACGCGCAGGGCATCGCCCACCGGGACCTGAAGCCGGGCAACGTGTTTGTCAGCCAGCGCCCGGACGGCGCATGGACCGCGGCCCTCGGCGACCTGGGCACCACCCGCAACCTCAACACCGACCGGTCGTCCACCCTGGTGAGCCAGGCGCCGGAGCTGAATGCCCTGACGGCGCGGTACGCGGCGCCGGAGGTGCTGGCCGCCTTCCAGCGGAAGCGCCCGCTGGACCCGGAGCTCCTGCTCCCGGCGGACATCTACAGCGCGGCCATCATGCTGTGGGAGTGCCTCACGCGCACGGTCCCCTGGAAGGGTGCGCGTGTCTTTCTTCTTCTTTTTTTTTCCAACCCTGCCCCGCTCTCGCCTCCCGGGCTGCCGGTCCTAACGCCTCCGGCCATCCAGCACTGAACTTCGAGCAAATCGCCACCGGGGTCCTGTCCGGCGACCGGCCATCCGCCCCCGCGGCCTTCGAGGCCCTGGACGACCTGCTGACGCTGGCGTGGGCCGCGAATCCGCATGCCCGGCCGCTGGCCGCGTCGCTGCGGCAAAAGTCCGCCATGCTGGCGGTCCTGTCGGGCCCCGGGCCCTGAGCCCTTGTGGCCGGCTGCGCTCCGGCGCCAATACACCGCGAACCCCCCCTGCCCGGCGATGCCATTGGGTGCGGGGATAGATGGGGGCATGGCCATCCGGCGGGGTGCCGCTCGGGGGCCCGGCCGGCCCGGCCGTCTCGGATGGCGACGGCGCGCATCCCAGGGAGGAGGGTGTCCGGCCGCCAGCCGCGGCCATGCACCCCCGGGCGATGGGGCCTGCCCCGGGGGGGCGCTTGGCCGTGCCCGGCACACCAGGAGCCCGAGGGCGGCCAGGCCCCGCTGCCGGGCACGATATGCTGCCCGATGCGGCCCGCCGGCGCGGGGGGGGGGGGGGGGGGAGACAGGGAACATGGCATGGCCGGGCCCCGGGGCCTGCATCAGGCCCGCGCCGGCGCCGCGGGGGGCGGGGGGCGCGCGGGGGGGGGGCCCGCGGCGGCGGCGCCCGAGCGGGG